TTTTAGAACAAAGAATTGTTTAATATTATTGTAAACAATTACAGTATCCAGATTTAATCAACAAAGTCTTAGCATATGACTACTAGTGTTTGTAGTCGATTTTGTGTTAGTCGATTTTATTGACTTAGCCAACTAAGTCAGTCGATTTTTCAAAAAATTGGCTTAGCTGACTTAGTGTATTAATTTATATTAAGAATCATAGTAACTAATCAAATTTTATAAAAAAATAAAATAAAAAAATATATAAATACATAATTAAATAAAATTCGCATATTATTTGTAAATAAATTTGCATTTAATTAGGCAAGCAGGTTGCATAAGTTGGCATTATCTTATATGGCATATATACAATGATTATATATATAATGACAAATTTATATAATCATATGCTAGTTTTCTTATTCAGGAAGATAATTAATATGATTACATAGAGCTAAAACAGTTTAACATGATATATAGCATATAAGTACTGGATTAACTATTCATAGAATCCAAACACATGCCCATATTTGAAGAAATATAGTGATGCTTATTCTCAAGAATAGGACCCAAATTTAATAATATCAATTTGACTATTACGCCTATGCACTGTACACATGTTACTTTTGACTTCTCTGACAATAATGATAAATTAATATTAGTTTTCTACAAATTAGCAATAAATTATGTAGGCTGTCAGAAAACTATGCACAAGACCCAAATGCTGTCATTACAGTTTATGTGCTGATCACATAAACACTATCATTATAGACATAGTACTAGAACAAGTAACTTTCTTTTACAGCATTAAACAATATAATGAAATTCATATGTCCTGTGGTCATTCATAACAATTAAAGCTGTTCTGCTCCAAAAGAAATTATTTATGACATGATTTACACCATTCTAACAATAATGAACACCTATTATATAAAGATTTGAATATTCAACTAACACTGTCAATTGGACTAAATAGACATATTTTTAATTAGAATAGGATGTATATCCAATTGAGATCAGATATAAGTCTAATTTTGGTTTAACTTCATCTAATTCTGATTAAGAATATGTATATTTAGTTCAATTGATAACACTAATTTGAACTAAAAAACACATAATATTCTTTCAATGTAATATTACTATAGTAAAAGTCACTTGTATAATACTATAGCTGCATAATATTATACTAGTGCATAATTATATAAAATTTAGCTTGGGGTATGGGAAAATCTTTGGCAAGTTTATATTCTCTTACCCAAAATACCTTATATATTGAACCCTAATAAAATAATATTGTTCAATAAATACTGTAAAAAAAAAAAAAAAAAGTAATATAATGTCTTGAAATTTTCTGTTGCCATTCTTATTATTATATACAATTAAAACCAATCTATACAATTATAAGTTCCAGTATAATCCGTTTCTTAATAATATAACAACCAATTTTTTGATGATATTATCAGTGAAGCTAACATGTTATTCGAGTATGAAGGAATTACCAATTCTGAACCTAATTCTGATGATGACAATAATGTTAATGATAAAAATATTATTGATACTGAAAATAATAATATTGGTAATGAAAATTATAATGATGATGAAGATGGCAGTTATACTGAAGATAAAGATGACAATATAATAGGGTCTTCATCTATTACATCTTACTTTACTCCCCATGAAGTTTTTATAAAAAAAACTTCAAACTCAAATATAGTAAATATAGTGCAAAAAAAAAAAACAAGCCCAGGAGCAGTTGGATATGGAAATATACTTGCCATGTTAAGTCAACAAAAGTTAAACATTGTGATATTCGTATATATAATAATGACAGTACTTATAGAAAATGTCCAACAGTATTCATGTCTAAAACATCAACAACTAATATAGCTGCACATTTACATACTGAATACCAGATTTTTAAAACCCAAAAATGGAAAGAACCATCTCCCTCCCCATCAACTACAATTCCTATGCCAACTGGTCATCAAACAATTGAGCAAGTATTACAAAAGCATGTAGAAAATGCTTTGCCTCTCTCCAAAATACAATAAAATCGTATTACCTATCATCTTGTTGCTTGAATAGTAGAGAAAATGATGCCATTGAATTGTATAAACTATGATCGGTTCTGAGATTTTTGTTATGAAATTAATTGACGATATACAGTTTCCTGTAATAATACTATTAAAAATATAATAAAGGAATCAGTACTTTATACAAATGCAACATTAAAAAAAATGATGTCTCAAACGATGGTTTCTGTCTGCATTACTACTGATTTATGGACCCAAAACTATATTCTATATATCGGCATAACAGCCCACTAGCTTTCTGAAAACTTTACAATGTACCAATCCTTAATCACAATCAAGCATTTCACTTACTTACATACAGGAGATCAGATTGAAGATTTTTTGTGCAAGATTCTTGCTGAATAGAACCTGTTTGATAAAGTCAAAGCAGTAATAACAGATAATGCATCATCAATAATCAAAGCAATCAGACAATTAGGCACCACTCACCTTGGCTATACAGCCTATACTATTCATTTTGCAGTTACAGATAGGTTAAAAAAAAGTGAAAATTTGATTATGTATGCAAAGTTATTAAATAATTTTTTGGTAAATCATGATAAATATTGACCGTTATTCTGAAAAATTCAGCATAATATAATCGAAAAAAAAAAAATCAAAATACTACTAATATGCATATTTTAGAGCCCATATCAAGTGATACTGTTACTAGATGGAATTTCACTTATCTTGTTCTTCAGCAGCTTCTAGAACTACAAGAATTAATTTTAGAATTGGCTAAAAGTTTGGCAAATAATCCTAATCATACTACTCATGCCGATGATAATAGCCTAAATGAAAAGATGCTTTCTGATGAAGAATGGATAGATAGAAATGATAGTAATTTTTTTTTTGTTTTAAAATATAAAAATATAGCAGAGTTTTACTATAACTTTTATATAGTGATGAAATGCCAAATATTTCTGATAATAAGAATCATATAGTAAAAAAAAAAAAAAGAATTTATTATTAGAATCGTGATAACATGTTCTACAATCTTAATTAAAGGTTCAAAAGATGTTAGCTCAGTAAAAAAATACTTTTCATTGTAGTGAATCGGCATTTCACTACTATAAAAAAATAATAAAGTTCTGATTATAATACTTAGTCATGCTTATACCTTTTAATTGCGAACTACCTCTTAATTTTTTTTTTTACATGTAGGCTTGAAAGAGTTATATTAACTTTTGCATCCATTTGCAAGAGCACTAACATTTGTAGAAAGAGATCAGTATCCAACATTAAGTATGATGTATCCAACAATGTGACATCTTTTTAAAAATTTAAATAAAATGAAGAATAAACTTACAAATATTAATGTGATTGAAGTGTATGAAAGTCTTCAAGAATCAATGGTATCTCGATGGAGTGATCCAGAAATGATAGGATGGCTTGCTTCATTTTTGGATCCTTATTTCAAGACATTGTCAGCCACCTTATCCACAATGCAACAAGAGGTGCTCCAAGAGTTATATAAAAATATTGAAATTTCTTATCATACAAATAACTTACTAACTACTAATAGTGCTCTAGATACAGAAATGTCTTCTTTTTTCGACAACAGAATTGAGCCTTCATCTTTTTCTTCAATTGATACCGAATTGTAAATGTACCTTTCAATTCTGCAAATTCCTAAATATGATTTAAAAGACCTATATTATAAAGAATATAATCCTTTAAGCTAGTGGAATGAACACAAAAGTGCCTTACCTCTTCTTGCAAAGCAAGCACAAATTTTCTTTGATATTCCAGTGACCTCTATGCTTTCAAAAAGGCTCTTTTCTGATGTAGGTAATACTATAACAGATAAATGCAATTATCTAAGTACGGACACAGTTCATGATCTATTATTTCTGAAAGAAAATTCAAAAATAATTAACGTGTATGTTGGTTTATAAATTGTGCACAACAATAAAATTTAAATTAAAATTTAAAATTTTAGAGAGTTTTTTTTTTAATTTGAATTATATTATATTATTCTTACTATAAATAAAAAGAAATTATATCTTAGTAATCAGTCATTTAAAATATTAAGTCTCTCTAAGAATAACAAATAAGTACATACATATGTATTGTAGTAACTCAACTAAGAATTTGATGTATTACAGATTTTCACATTACACTTTTTAAAGTTATGTATACTCAATAAAAATCAGAAGCTCATTACTATTACAACTAACATTTAAAGATATTCTATTACATTATTAAATAAATGTTTCAACTTATTATTAAAACATGAAATTATCTCTAAACCATTTATTGTTTAAAATTCATATGTATTAATATGTGAGTTTGGGATAATTATCTTGCAGAACACTCTAAATTTCATTAATTAGAATGAGAAAACTATTTTAAACATGCAAGCAAGCCAATTTAATTATCTTGAGACAGTACTGATGCAATATTTTTAATCGAAAGAAATCAGATAAATAAGTACAATATTTGTATGAAAATTTTAGAATTTCACACTTATAGTTAAAAGCTTAAAATTGATTGATTGATCATTTTTAATTTGAGTAATTGACCAATCATATCTATTATAGATCATGTGTTTATAATTAACCAATTAGAATGATCGACTACAACTTAGCTGGCTAAGCTGATTTTTAAAAATTGACTTAGTCTAGTTGATAAATTTGGATTAACTACAAACACTAATAACTACTATCTAAAAGCCTATTAATAGAAAAACCAGATTATAATAAGTCTATTAATACAAGTTAAATTAAGAATTAGACTAGAACTTATTAATTGTTTAAAGTAATAAATTATAAACAAATTTATTAAACAAAGAAATTGACTTTTAAGCATATCAGTAATATGAATAGAGTTAAGTTTAACTAGCTAGTTGTCTTTTGTATATAGTACAAAAGTTGTAGAAATTTTGTGAAACAAAATTCTTAAGAAGAAGAAAATGTTACAAGGTAAATTTTTAGCATAGCATACTATATTATAATTATTAATAGTTGTTATATATTTATTA